CTAAAATACTCTCGGGTTTCCACTAACCTACCACTCGGACAACGGGTTTCAACCCTAAAACTCACCACCCGGGCCCGGGCCCGGGTTAATATCAATGCCAAAACCCTAAAACCACCCTCTGACCGGGTTCTACCCCGAAAACCCTCATCTCATGGGCCCTGGGTCCCTTGCTATCTATATCAAAACCTTGTAACTGATTTACTGACTTTTGTTACTCTGATCTCTTCCTATGCACTCTCGGACGGGTTGGAACCACTAATCTAATAACAAACAACTTTGGAACACCAACATATATAACCCTAAACACCTATCTACAAACCCTCACCACCTATCTACAAACCCTCACCACCCATCCATAAACCCTCACCACCTATCTACAAACCCTCACCACCCATCCATAAACCCTCACCACCTATCTACAAACCCTCACCACCCATCCATAAACCCTCACCACTGGCATCTCTCGGAACATTCCCAACTTCTAAACCTCGATCTCCGTATAACACACGATCCCTATCACTAATGACCTTATCACTTACTATACAATCGTCCTGTATATCACCTTCCTAATACCCATCATATATCTATCCTCCTGACCCTATAATTCCCATATATTTCTACCGTAATCATCCCTCTCACCTGGAAATACACTGAATCAACCATGGAACCCGGCAACATGACAACATATATTTGGCCATCGTCTTTATTACTTGAATACGGAAAACACGAACGCCGCTCTCGATTTCCACCTACCCACCACGCTCAACTCCTTGATATGCTCTCCGTAACCAAATAAACTCTTCCGTAATCTGCGCTCGCTTTCGTCCACAATTCCGCGCCATCTGTCCCAAATACCGAATCAACTCTGTATCGTTCGCCCGGATATTATCCACCCCATGCTCACTCAATCGCTGGAACCACCGTTCTCGGATTACTGCATTGGCATGGGGCCCATGCACCATCATCGCAATCGTCGGAATCAATGCCGTACGATATCCATCACATGCCTGGACCGTCTGCGGACTATGCTCCGTTCGCCGATCGCTCCGCGGACATATATACTGCGGCATCCCACACCAAAAATGCGCCGTGAACCCATCGTACGAAATCTGCCGTCGAATCTTGACCATCCAATCCTTACTGGCCTGCGCAATCTTGCCGCTGCCCCCTTCACCATACCAACACTTCCACATCTCATGTCCATCGTCACGGCCTCCTTGGCTGCATGTCCAACAACGATCAACCCACTTCTCAATCTCACGGATCAAAAACTCTTCATCCTCATATTGCTGACCGGCCCTCCCATCCGCCTGCTGGCATAATTCGGCCCGTTGGATATCCTGTTGCCGAAATGTATGCTGGATGGCGATTGGTACGGCCCGGGCCATGGTGCTGGGAATATCCTCCGTCGGGCCGGCCATCACCGGCTCAACCGCCCCGAACATCAACCATCGGGTCATCGGCGATAACGGGGGACGCGGATCCAATCCGGGACTCCTGGTCTTCCCAATTGGGCATACATCCATCACATGCGGACTCGACCACCCGATCACCACATCGCTGTCGTTGGTATTCCTCGATGGGTCCATCCAAATACCCATCCAATATCACTCGCCGGCAACCCGTCACCGCCGCCTCCATATACTCAACAACATGGGCATGGTCGTCCGGGGGCGCATCGTGCATCCAAAACGGACGGCATTCCCGCCCCATCGTCTGACCCTCGGCCTGGATGATAATCGCCTCGCTGGGCTGTCCATCACGCCCGGCCCGCCCACTTTCCTGCGCGTAATCTAACATGGTCCGGGGCTGACCAACGTGGATCACACTGCGGATATCGGGGATATCAATCCCCATCCCTAACGCACTGGTGGCCGTGATCACCGCCCCGGCCTGGTGGCGGAATGATGCCAAAATCCCTTCCTTGTCCACCTGCTTGCTATGGTATGCGGCACAACCTAATAACTCGGCCAATGCGGTGACATGGGCCCGGACGGTGGCATATATGATCACCCGGCCGGGGTACGCTCGGCGAACACGGTCCTGGATGAACTGGATCACACTCCGCATCTGCACCCACTGGAACGGATGGTCATATCCATCGTCTACGGGGATCGTATGGACACGATATGCGATATTGGGCCGGCTGGTGTGGCCCCGATATAATACCACTTGATCCCGGACCCAATGCATCCGATGGAATAATAATTCCTCGCTGCGGGGGGGCAATGTCGCGGTCAACATCACGATCTGGGTGGCTGCGGTTCGTAACTTGCCCAACTGCTGGAATAATGGCCGGAATCGCTCCTGTTGACTTAATACCATATGGCACTCGTCCACCACAATCCGATCTAATCGCTGTAACATCCGCTGCCGGGTCACAAAATCGGCAAATGCATCGCTGTCGGTGCTCTCGGGCGTGATCAATACGATGGATACCCCATCGGGTGGCCGTCGGGGGTCCCATACCGCACATGAAATCCCCAATCGCTGGCATCGTGCTTCCATGTCACCGCGTAATGCAATCAATGGAACAACCACGATGGTTAACCCGGCACGGCCACTCACCCACGCGGGCAACATAAACAACACACTCTTACCTCCCCCCGGTGGGCATGACCGCCACAATGGGGCTTACCCCATGCTTGATGGCTTGTAATACGGGACCCTGTTGCCCCCGCAATGCTACGGTGTTGCTCCCCATCATGTGCTGGAATGCCTCGTCTATGTTGGTCTGGTGTAAATCATATCGACGCTGCGTACGGGCCTCGGCCGTTTCGACTTCCCATGGGTTGGGCTTACGCTTGGTGCCGGGGGCCCGGCGGTCATGTTCGATACGGGTGGACTCGAATCCTAAAAAATAATGCCAATCCTGGCTCACCTGGCGGAATAACTCGCGGTGCCGGGCCGTGGTGTTGGGATTCTCCATCATCATCCGGCCATATTGCGTCCCGGCAATGCTGGCGGAATGCGCGGCCTGGATATCCGCAATGAATGCTCGGATCCCATCATCATCCATGGATGTCTCGTCGTCAATGTCGGGGGCCTCCTCCTCGGTGTTGGCCTGGAACTGACTGCTGGGGCGTAAATACCGCCGGCTGATGGCGATGGCGATGTCACGGTATGCCTGTAATCCCAACTTCTGCCCATCCAATCCAATCGCGGTCTCGCGCTTCAATACCTCCCGTAACCGGACGCTACTCCACTCGGTCTGCCGATCGGGATCCGGGGACCATACATACTCGGCCCGTCGACCGATGGTGGCGGCTTCGCCCCGTATATGCCGCTGATATGACTGCATCTGCTCCACAAATGGCAATACTAACCATAAATACCATATGACCAACTCACCAATCTCCCGGGGTAAATATCGGAAAATCACCTTGGTATCATTGGCCACATGGAACCCCTTATGGTATCGACTGACAAATGTGACCATGCCATCCTCAATGAATATATTGCGGCGCTCTCGCTCACTGTTACGATGCCGGATGCTCATTAACTCGGGACCCCGGCTGGGTTGACCGGCACAAACATGGACGGCCACGCTTAACCGCTCACGGAACTGGCTCACCACTCGAAAAAACCGATCGATGGCGGGCATCCGGAACCCGGCCCCGTGGGACTGTACAAACTGACGCTGTAATCGGGGCTCGTGGCGGATACGCTCCATGAACCACGTCGGACCCTGGACCGGCCACGATGTACGTAAATCCTGTAAAAAACTCCATCCGGTGGCACTCTGCGTGGCATCATCGTACAAATGATCCCACGGGATGGCTGGGGGCGGGTGATCGGTGCAAAACATCAACTCGTGGACCAACTGCTGCCGTAACCGGCCAACCAACCCATGCACAAATCCGCGGAAATGGCCCATGGTAAAATGGATCTGTTTGTACAACAATTCATCTCCGGACTTCCACCCGATATGACCCTCGCTGGGGGTATTCATAAATATCGTCCGTCCGTACGTACGTAAATCTAACCACCACTGGACGGGGCCATTGGTCCCACGAACCATGAATAAATCCACCAAATATGTGACCCATTCGGGGAACGTTCGGTCGGGATGCTGGCGCTGCTCCTGTGTCAATGCTCCTAATATGTCATCGCTGGTGGGGGGGGAACTACGCATGGCCACCGGGGATGGGGGGGCACTGCCATATCCTTCATCATCGTGGGCATATGCCTCATCGATGCCGATCATATCACCTTCAAACCATGGCGGGTTCTGCTGCCCGGCGAACCCACGACGGATCTCCGATGACCGGGGGGTCTAACCGCAATGCTTTGTGCAAAATAAAAAACCGCGCGATCTTGATCAAACTGGATATCCGGGGGGGAAATTCTCGGGCGTGGCCCAACCAAACTGCCCGCATCCAATCACGGCGGTGGCACAAATCATGGCACATCCATATTCATCGTTGCGGATCTTCTGGCGTAATAAATCGATGCAAAACGTTAATAATGCATGCTCGATGGGACGAATCTCGAATGGCTCGGGCTCATCATCCTCGGGGTCGGGACAACTGGCCTGGGCCTGGGCATGGCGCCACACGGCATCCCATAACTGCTGCTGTCGGGGGGTAAATGAATACTTGGGTGATTCCCAATCATGTTCAATCTGGGATGGTGAATCAACCTGGGTGTCTGATATCGGGTACGGACGTGATCATACCTGGGTTCGTGCAAAAAACATCATAATCTGCTGCCACGGTGCCACATGCTTTTGAATGGCGGTGGCATCTAAATATGCCAATAATGGCTTATGTGGACTCTCGTCCTTCATCGTACGGACCACATCAATGCGTACTAAATGCCCGCACGCCTTGGCGATCTCCTGGCTCACCGATGCCAATCGCTCCATGGCCTCCCAAATGACCAATGCGATACGCTCTGGTCCCTCGGCATCCTCCTCGGGGCGCTGGGTACTCTCGAATAATGGCTGCCGGGGGGGTCCCTTGTAAATACCGAACCCACCCCGTCCGATTCAACCATGGCGTGGCTTCATCTAACTCCCCGGCCTGGATGATGGTTTCATGGGCCTGTTGATCTTGCTGCTGATACTCCTCAACCATTTGCACTAACTGGTGAATCCGGTCGGGGTCTTCCACGGGGTCTATGGGGGGGCTCATTGGGATTGGGCTGCACAATATGAATATAATGTGAACCGGGGCCTTGGCTGAATATACGCTGACACGCAACGGCTCGGCTATTGGCGTTAATGGCGGCCTGGATGGCTTTTTCCTGTCTGGGTGTGGGACGACCACGGCTTTGCTGTACACGATACTGATGGGCCTCTATCCAATGTGCCTTCATCGTACGGATCTGGCGGCATGTATATACCTCACATTGCTGGCACAATAATCCATCCTGATAAACGGGTAACTCGGGGATGGGTTGATCAATCTGGCGGGGCCAACTATCCACCTCTGGGTGATCATCAATATGATCCCACTGCTGGATCACTCTGTCGATATACTGTACCCACGAAATGGGTATCCGATGTACGGTACTACTTAAATGGGCCTTGATCTGTCCCCGGCGTACGGCACATTGACATTTCTGGCAAATCAACACGCGAAATTCGGCATTGACACAAAATAATTCGTGGGCCTGGTATTCGGTGTCCATGTCGGATATGGAAATCTATATATCGGCTGGTATTGTATATCTGGGAAATGGGATCAACTCAATGTTGTTCAAATGGACCCAAAATAAAATGGGATGATGATGGGGGATCTGGGAAAACCCCCCCTGAAATTTGAAACAAAAAAAAACAAATCCTATGACTAAACTACATATGGTGGTTGTTGATGTTGGTGGGTTTGACTGGTCGCGACCGGCGGCTGGTGGTTACCCCATCAAAAAATCTTGCTACTTTGTGGGGGACAAAATCGATACTGGATATGCTCTGATTGTGCTTAAATTTGGCTATGGAATAAAACTAATACTAAATTAAAATATATCGAAATCTGGAAACTCTACGACATTATTTTGCTAAATTCAATGGGGGTTTGAAATCTAAATTCAATGGGCCCTGGACCCACTTTTTTCCCCCATACTTAACAAAACCCTAAAAAATTCAATGGGCCTCATTGAATTTACCCCCCATGGGATAGGGGTCCCATACCGCACATGAAATCCCCAATCGCTGGCATCGTGCTTCCATGTCACCGCGTAATGCAATCAATGGAACAACCACGATGGTTAACCCGGCACGGCCACTCACCCACGCGGGCAACATAAACAACACACTCTTACCTCCCCCGGTGGGCATGACCGCCACAATGGGGCTTACCCCATGCTTGATGGCTTGTAATACGGGACCCTGTTGCCCCCGCAATGCTACGGTGTTGCTCCCCATCATGTGCTGGAATGCCTCGTCTATGTTGGTCTGGTGTAAATCATATCGACGCTGCGTACGGGCCTCGGCCGTTTCGACTTCCCATGGGTTGGGCTTACGCTTGGTGCCGGGGGCCCGGCGGTCATGTTCGATACGGGTGGACTCGAATCCTAAAAAATAATGCCAATCCTGGCTCACCTGGCGGAATAACTCGCGGTGCCGGGCCGTGGTGTTGGGATTCTCCATCATCATCCGGCCATATTGCGTCCCGGCAATGCTGGCGGAATGCGCGGCCTGGATATCCGCAATGAATGCTCGGATCCCATCATCATCCATGGATGTCTCGTCGTCAATGTCGGGGGCCTCCTCCTCGGTGTTGGCCTGGAACTGACTGCTGGGGCGTAAATACCGCCGGCTGATGGCGATGGCGATGTCACGGTATGCCTGTAATCCCAACTTCTGCCCATCCAATCCAATCGCGGTCTCGCGCTTCAATACCTCCCGTAACCGGACGCTACTCCACTCGGTCTGCCGATCGGGATCCGGGGACCATACATACTCGGCCCGTCGACCGATGGTGGCGGCTTCGCCCCGTATATGCCGCTGATATGACTGCATCTGCTCCACAAATGGCAATACTAACCATAAATACCATATGACCAACTCACCAATCTCCCGGGGTAAATATCGGAAAATCACCTTGGTATCATTGGCCACATGGAACCCCTTATGGTATCGACTGACAAATGTGACCATGCCATCCTCAATGAATATATTGCGGCGCTCTCGCTCACTGTTACGATGCCGGATGCTCATTAACTCGGGACCCCGGCTGGGTTGACCGGCACAAACATGGACGGCCACGCTTAACCGCTCACGGAACTGGCTCACCACTCGAAAAAACCGATCGATGGCGGGCATCCGGAACCCGGCCCCGTGGGACTGTACAAACTGACGCTGTAATCGGGGCTCGTGGCGGATACGCTCCATGAACCACGTCGGACCCTGGACCGGCCACGATGTACGTAAATCCTGTAAAAAACTCCATCCGGTGGCACTCTGCGTGGCATCATCGTACAAATGATCCCACGGGATGGCTGGGGGCGGGTGATCGGTGCAAAACATCAACTCGTGGACCAACTGCTGCCGTAACCGGCCAACCAACCCATGCACAAATCCGCGGAAATGGCCCATGGTAAAATGGATCTGTTTGTACAACAATTCATCTCCGGACTTCCACCCGATATGACCCTCGCTGGGGGTATTCATAAATATCGTCCGTCCGTACGTACGTAAATCTAACCACCACTGGACGGGGCCATTGGTCCCACGAACCATGAATAAATCCACCAAATATGTGACCCATTCGGGGAACGTTCGGTCGGGATGCTGGCGCTGCTCCTGTGTCAATGCTCCTAATATGTCATCGCTGGTGGGGGGGGAACTACGCATGGCCACCGGGGATGGGGGGGGCACTGCCATATCCTTCATCATCGTGGGCATATGCCTCATCGATGCCGATCATATCACCTTCAAACCATGGCGGGTTCTGCTGCCCGGCGAACCCACGACGGATCTCCGATGACCGGGGGTCTAACCGCAATGCTTTGTGCAAAATAAAAAACCGCGCGATCTTGATCAAACTGGATATCCGGGGGGGGAAATTCTCGGGCGTGGCCCAACCAAACTGCCCGCATCCAATCACGGCGGTGGCACAAATCATGGCACATCCATATTCATCGTTGCGGATCTTCTGGCGTAATAAATCGATGCAAAACGTTAATAATGCATGCTCGATGGGACGAATCTCGAATGGCTCGGGCTCATCATCCTCGGGGTCGGGACAACTGGCCTGGGCCTGGGCATGGCGCCACACGGCATCCCATAACTGCTGCTGTCGGGGGGTAAATGAATACTTGGGTGATTCCCAATCATGTTCAATCTGGGATGGTGAATCAACCTGGGTGTCTGATATCGGGTACGGACGTGATCATACCTGGGTTCGTGCAAAAAACATCATAATCTGCTGCCACGGTGCCACATGCTTTTGAATGGCGGTGGCATCTAAATATGCCAATAATGGCTTATGTGGACTCTCGTCCTTCATCGTACGGACCACATCAATGCGTACTAAATGCCCGCACGCCTTGGCGATCTCCTGGCTCACCGATGCCAATCGCTCCATGGCCTCCCAAATGACCAATGCGATACGCTCTGGTCCCTCGGCATCCTCCTCGGGGCGCTGGGTACTCTCGAATAATGGCTGCCGGGGGGGTCCCTTGTAAATACCGAACCCACCCCGTCCGATTCAACCATGGCGTGGCTTCATCTAACTCCCCGGCCTGGATGATGGTTTCATGGGCCTGTTGATCTTGCTGCTGATACTCCTCAACCATTTGCACTAACTGGTGAATCCGGTCGGGGTCTTCCACGGGGTCTATGGGGGGGCTCATTGGGATTGGGCTGCACAATATGAATATAATGTGAACCGGGGCCTTGGCTGAATATACGCTGACACGCAACGGCTCGGCTATTGGCGTTAATGGCGGCCTGGATGGCTTTTTCCTGTCTGGGTGTGGGACGACCGCGGCTTTGCTGTACACGATACTGATGGGCCTCTATCCAATGTGCCTTCATCGTACGGATCTGGCGGCATGTATATACCTCACATTGCTGGCACAATAATCCATCCTGATAAACGGGTAACTCGGGGATGGGTTGATCAATCTGGCGGGGCCAACTATCCACCTCTGGGTGATCATCAATATGATCCCACTGCTGGATCACTCTGTCGATATACTGTACCCACGAAATGGGTATCCGATGTACGGTACTACTTAAATGGGCCTTGATCTGTCCCCGGCGTACGGCACATTGACATTTCTGGCAAATCAACACGCGAAATTCGGCATTGACACAAAATAATTCGTGGGCCTGGTATTCGGTGTCCATGTCGGATATGGAAATCTATATATCGGCTGGTATTGTATATCTGGGAAATGGGATCAACTCAATGTTGTTCAAATGGACCCAAAATAAAATGGGATGATGATGGGGGATCTGGGAAAACCCCCCCTGAAATTTGAAACAAAAAAAAACAAATCCTATGACTAAACTACATATGGTGGTTGTTGATGTTGGTGGGTTTGACTGGTCGCGACCGGCGGCTGGTGGTTACCCCATCAAAAAATCTTGCTACTTTGTGGGGGACAAAATCGATACTGGATATGCTCTGATTGTGCTTAAATTTGGCTATGGAATAAAACTAATACTAAATTAAAATATATCGAAATCTGGAAACTCTACGACATTATTTTGCTAAATTCAATGGGGGTTTGAAATCTAAATTCAATGGGCCCTGGACCCACTTTTTTCCCCCATACTTAACAAAACCCTAAAAAATTCAATGGGCCTCATTGAATTTACCCCCCATGGGATAGGGGTCCCATACCGCACATGAAATCCCCAATCGCTGGCATCGTGCTTCCATGTCACCGCGTAATGCAATCAATGGAACAACCACGATGGTTAACCCGGCACGGCCACTCACCCACGCGGGCAACATAAACAACACACTCTTACCTCCCCCGGTGGGCATGACCGCCACAATGGGGCTTACCCCATGCTTGATGGCTTGTAATACGGGACCCTGTTGCCCCCGCAATGCTACGGTGTTGCTCCCCATCATGTGCTGGAATGCCTCGTCTATGTTGGTCTGGTGTAAATCATATCGACGCTGCGTACGGGCCTCGGCCGTTTCGACTTCCCATGGGTTGGGCTTACGCTTGGTGCCGGGGGCCCGGCGGTCATGTTCGATACGGGTGGACTCGAATCCTAAAAAATAATGCCAATCCTGGCTCACCTGGCGGAATAACTCGCGGTGCCGGGCCGTGGTGTTGGGATTCTCCATCATCATCCGGCCATATTGCGTCCCGGCAATGCTGGCGGAATGCGCGGCCTGGATATCCGCAATGAATGCTCGGATCCCATCATCATCCATGGATGTCTCGTCGTCAATGTCGGGGGCCTCCTCCTCGGTGTTGGCCTGGAACTGACTGCTGGGGCGTAAATACCGCCGGCTGATGGCGATGGCGATGTCACGGTATGCCTGTAATCCCAACTTCTGCCCATCCAATCCAATCGCGGTCTCGCGCTTCAATACCTCCCGTAACCGGACGCTACTCCACTCGGTCTGCCGATCGGGATCCGGGGACCATACATACTCGGCCCGTCGACCGATGGTGGCGGCTTCGCCCCGTATATGCCGCTGATATGACTGCATCTGCTCCACAAATGGCAATACTAACCATAAATACCATATGACCAACTCACCAATCTCCCGGGGTAAATATCGGAAAATCACCTTGGTATCATTGGCCACATGGAACCCCTTATGGTATCGACTGACAAATGTGACCATGCCATCCTCAATGAATATATTGCGGCGCTCTCGCTCACTGTTACGATGCCGGATGCTCATTAACTCGGGACCCCGGCTGGGTTGACCGGCACAAACATGGACGGCCACGCTTAACCGCTCACGGAACTGGCTCACCACTCGAAAAAACCGATCGATGGCGGGCATCCGGAACCCGGCCCCGTGGGACTGTACAAACTGACGCTGTAATCGGGGCTCGTGGCGGATACGCTCCATGAACCACGTCGGACCCTGGACCGGCCACGATGTACGTAAATCCTGTAAAAAACTCCATCCGGTGGCACTCTGCGTGGCATCATCGTACAAATGATCCCACGGGATGGCTGGGGGCGGGTGATCGGTGCAAAACATCAACTCGTGGACCAACTGCTGCCGTAACCGGCCAACCAACCCATGCACAAATCCGCGGAAATGGCCCATGGTAAAATGGATCTGTTTGTACAACAATTCATCTCCGGACTTCCACCCGATATGACCCTCGCTGGGGGTATTCATAAATATCGTCCGTCCGTACGTACGTAAATCTAACCACCACTGGACGGGGCCATTGGTCCCACGAACCATGAATAAATCCACCAAATATGTGACCCATTCGGGGAACGTTCGGTCGGGATGCTGGCGCTGCTCCTGTGTCAATGCTCCTAATATGTCATCGCTGGTGGGGGGGGAACTACGCATGGCCACCGGGGATGGGGGGGCACTGCCATATCCTTCATCATCGTGGGCATATGCCTCATCGATGCCGATCATATCACCTTCAAACCATGGCGGGTTCTGCTGCCCGGCGAACCCACGACGGATCTCCGATGACCGGGGGTCTAACCGCAATGCTTTGTGCAAAATAAAAAACCGCGCGATCTTGATCAAACTGGATATCCGGGGGGGGGAAATTCTCGGGCGTGGCCCAACCAAACTGCCCGCATCCAATCACGGCGGTGGCACAAATCATGGCACATCCATATTCATCGTTGCGGATCTTCTGGCGTAATAAATCGATGCAAAACGTTAATAATGCATGCTCGATGGGACGAATCTCGAATGGCTCGGGCTCATCATCCTCGGGGTCGGGACAACTGGCCTGGGCCTGGGCATGGCGCCACACGGCATCCCATAACTGCTGCTGTCGGGGGGTAAATGAATACTTGGGTGATTCCCAATCATGTTCAATCTGGGATGGTGAATCAACCTGGGTGTCTGATATCGGGTACGGACGTGATCATACCTGGGTTCGTGCAAAAAACATCATAATCTGCTGCCACGGTGCCACATGCTTTTGAATGGCGGTGGCATCTAAATATGCCAATAATGGCTTATGTGGACTCTCGTCCTTCATCGTACGGACCACATCAATGCGTACTAAATGCCCGCACGCCTTGGCGATCTCCTGGCTCACCGATGCCAATCGCTCCATGGCCTCCCAAATGACCAATGCGATACGCTCTGGTCCCTCGGCATCCTCCTCGGGGCGCTGGGTACTCTCGAATAATGGCTGCCGGGGGGGTCCCTTGTAAATACCGAACCCACCCCGTCCGATTCAACCATGGCGTGGCTTCATCTAACTCCCCGGCCTGGATGATGGTTTCATGGGCCTGTTGATCTTGCTGCTGATACTCCTCAACCATTTGCACTAACTGGTGAATCCGGTCGGGGTCTTCCACGGGGTCTATGGGGGGGCTCATTGGGATTGGGCTGCACAATATGAATATAATGTGAACCGGGGCCTTGGCTGAATATACGCTGACACGCAACGGCTCGGCTATTGGCGTTAATGGCGGCCTGGATGGCTTTTTCCTGTCTGGGTGTGGGACGACCGCGGCTTTGCTGTACACGATACTGATGGGCCTCTATCCAATGTGCCTTCATCGTACGGATCTGGCGGCATGTATATACCTCACATTGCTGGCACAATAATCCATCCTGATAAACGGGTAACTCGGGGATGGGTTGATCAATCTGGCGGGGCCAACTATCCACCTCTGGGTGATCATCAATATGATCCCACTGCTGGATCACTCTGTCGATATACTGTACCCACGAAATGGGTATCCGATGTACGGTACTACTTAAATGGGCCTTGATCTGTCCCCGGCGTACGGCACATTGACATTTCTGGCAAATCAACACGCGAAATTCGGCATTGACACAAAATAATTCGTGGGCCTGGTATTCGGTGTCCATGTCGGATATGGAAATCTATATATCGGCTGGTATTGTATATCTGGGAAATGGGATCAACTCAATGTTGTTCAAATGGACCCAAAATAAAATGGGATGATGATGGGGGATCTGGGAAAACCCCCCCTGAAATTTGAAACAAAAAAAAACAAATCCTATGACTAAACTACATATGGTGGTTGTTGATGTTGGTGGGTTTGACTGGTCGCGACCGGCGGCTGGTGGTTACCCCATCAAAAAATCTTGCTACTTTGTGGGGGACAAAATCGATACTGGATATGCTCTGATTGTGCTTAAATTTGGCTATGGAATAAAACTAATACTAAATTAAAATATATCGAAATCTGGAAACTCTACGACATTATTTTGCTAAATTCAATGGGGGTTTGAAATCTAAATTCAATGGGCCCTGGACCCACTTTTTTCCCCCATACTTAACAAAACCCTAAAAAATTCAATGGGCCTCATTGAATTTACCCCCCATGGGATAGGTAGCCAGAGTCCAGAGGTACTGCCATACCTTCTATTAACAGTAGTTGAAGCAGTAGTAGAGGTAGGCCAGGTAGGAGAGCTCTATAGGATACTGTATATAGGTAAAGAAGCTAATAATCTACTACTAGGGGGTAATATAGGCCAGGATCGTCTCCAGGTCTATATAGGCCTATAGAGGAGTATATAGGGACTAATTAATCTCCGTACGAATAATCTCCACCTGGATCAGATAGCTGTAGTGTTTAACAATCAACTAGGCCGTATAGACTATATTGGTTATAGCCTAGTAGATCTTCCAGAGTAGATTGGACATATCAGGCTCAGAGATCTTAGTCAACAAAGAGAGAATCTCTAGATATTGGTCCTTAAGATACTGCAACCACCGGATATAATACAGCTATAGAGTAGTCTTATTCAACTCCACAGTCTCAATCGTACAATCTAAAGAGTAAAAGACCTCTTAGTACTACTCTTCTAGTTAGTTAAAGAACTAATTAATAGTAGAGGATACTAACTCTAGCTCTACTGATTCTAATCGTATAGAGCTAAGCATAGTAAAGTAGTATAAATTAGACCCCTAGCAATAGAAACACTAATAATAAACAGAGCAAGTATATATTTAAATCTCTTACTCTAGTAAGGGAGAAGGAGTTAAATTATTAGCTAGCTAAGAAAGTAGCTTAGCAAAGGTATACCAATTATAAACAGTACACTAGTACTCTTTAATAGCCTTCTTTGTATAACAGACATAACGACATAATAATATACAGTAATATTAGATACTATTATAATATAGCGGAAGAGACTTAAAGTAAGAGGGTCGATTAGAGATTAGATCAGATAAAAAAGAAATAAGTAATTAAGGCTATAGTGTAGGGAGAGTTTCTTAGATCTTAGAAGCAATTCTAGCTAGAATCTTATATATTGATAAGGTTAAATAAGTAATAATCTGGTTTAATTATACAGTAAATTAACACTTATAACTAGACTGCGGCACGGTTTTGGGTTTGGTCTTCAAATGCTAACCAAACCCAAATCGATTTGGTCTGCGGCTTTCATATCTTTACCAAACCCAAATCGATTCGGTTTGCGGTTCTAAGATCTTTACCAAAACCTAACCGCAAATTTTACGGTTAACCAAAACCGCAATGCGGTTACCTTGCGGTTAACCGCACTAGCATAAAAGATGAAGATCTTACCTATCTAAGCCACCCCACCGTTTTTATACACCTGATAACTAAGCTCAAATAATGCATTCTTACATATGGTTTCGTTATTACTACTGTAATCATTTATTTTTCTTACTTTCTGTTGGAAATAATTTGAAATAGAGCGGTATTCTAAAAGATAAAATATTAGTCTACAAAAAATTCAAGTTCGAAGTTGGATTTTGGATATTGTTGGCGAGATTTACTGTGTGTTGTGATTAGTTTTTGTAATCGAGTATAGTTATCGCAGAAATATATATTTGACTTAGAGAGATTATGCTGCATCTTTAGGTCAGTAGAACATGAAAAGCCTAACTTGACTAATTTTTAAGTATTCTGAATTTTGATCATATGTTGTAAAAGAGCTAGTTTTTTTTACCTATCCCTAATAATTTTTAATCTAGTATTACAATATAAAAGTGTTAAAAAAGTGTGTCCTAAAAGTGCAAAGTTGCAGTGATAAATGGTTATCTTGCGGTCGTGCTGCGGTTACCTTGTGGTTATCCTGTGGTTTTTGCGGTTTTCAGGGGTATTTTGCGGTTATCTTGCGGTTATCTTGCGGTTTTTGCGGTTTTCGGTAATCTTAGTGCGGTTATTGTGAGGGGTCTTTGCGGTTAACCGCAGGATAACCGCATTAGTAGCTCTAATATCCAATTAGAGTATATCTTTGACTCCACTCTATAATTGCTTTTGCAACTCATCAATGTCCTCGGTCGCGTCTGGTGTTTGTGGTCCTCTCGTCGAATCTTGTAAGTTGTTTGTCTCTCATTTACACATATTGGCTCTTAAGACCATAGCCAAAGATGGCCTATACTTCATCAGTCTTCACCGATCAGCATTCTGATACTGACTTTCTCCTACCAGATGACCTACCATCACTCAATACATATTGTCGTACTGCCACCGAGTCAATTACACCATCCATTTGCTCTCAACAACTGCAATTACCGCGAGCGCCCTTATTCCTTACACGTACTGGGCCACATCTTCAGCGATTTTGGATCCTTGTAGAAATGGACCCCGCAACAGGCCAAACTCGGAAGGATTTCACTGAGTGGTGGCTTCAAACAGAGTATGGCACAAGAAAAGACATCGAGACCACCATTCATTGGGACCACAAAAAGAGAGCTTCAGTCTGGGATCACTTTGAGCAAGTAGCTCATGAACGGACAGGAGAGCCTAAAGTTATGTGTAAGCGTTGCCTTACTACACTTACTCATCCAAATATTCGGCGTGGAGGAACATCACCAATGAACACACATCTGAAAGGGAATACCTGTCATCCAAAGCATGGGATTGGCAAGTTACTTGCGAAGCAGGTAAGTATATATACTCTCTTTAAGATACTGCTTTTAGCTAATAACTTATAATTTGTAGTCACAAACTTCAAGAGCAACTTTAACTACTTTCTCTGAAGAAGCGCTTGCCCAGAAAGTCCTTTCTCTTATCCTCGTCGCACGGCTCCCATTCCGTATCCTTGATCGTCCAGAATTCCAGGAATTAGCTGATCTAATTGCTGTTGCTCCCTCACGGGTCAAACTACCCTCGCCCCGGACGATTAGCCGACAACTACACTCGAATATCCAACAAGGACAACAGAGTATAATAGATATGCTCCCAGAGGATAGTAGACTATCTCTATCACTTGATTGCTGGACATCACCTTTCCAGCAGGGCTTTATGGCTATTACTGGTTATTTTCTGGATAACGATTGGGAGTATCGAGAGGCTCTACTTGGCTTTGAACCCTTACAAGGCTCACATACTGGGAGTAACCTAAGCTCAGTAGTTATTGGTATTCTCGAAAAGTATAAAATTGCCGATCGGGTTCTGTCAGTAACAACTGATAATGCTACCAATAACAATACAATGATGCTCAGTATTCAGGATGAGCTCAAAAGTCAGGGTGTTGGAAGTGACGGGCTTGGTAATGGTATATTTCGTGTTCCATGCCTGGCCCATGTGATCCAACTGAGTCTGAATCAACTTCTCGGAAAAATAAAAGCAATGCCATCCAATAATGAGGCAGAGGATGGATGGTCAGATGACCGTGAGCGCCAGGCGCGTTCTCAGCAATCAAAGAGAGAGATTATCCAGACATTGAACAAGGTATGTGATGATTCAGCAAAAAGAGAGAGAGAGAGGATAACAGCTAATAATAGTTATCTGTAGATCCGAAATCTTGCTATCTTTATTAATGCAAGTCCTCAGCGCCGAGCTGCATTTCTTGTAATCCAGTCCCAGGAGCCTCGACTGCTTCCTCTTCAAGATGTACGGACTCGATGGAATTCTACATTTCTGATGCTCGGCCGAGCCAAGCGACTACAGAAGAGCTTTCAAGAATACTGTACAGCACACGGCTATCTCCATTTTCAGCTTGACAAAGAAGAATGGCGTCAGATCGACTACTTACTGTGTATCACTGAGCCATTCTTCAAGTTCACAACTGCTCTCTCAAAAACAAAAGACACCACAATCCATCTTATCTTTGGTGTTTACAATAAGCTTTTCAATCACCTGGAGAACTCCGAGAACC